ACTGGACCTCCAGGGCCTGGGCACAGAGTGAGACTCAGTCTCCCAAAAAAAAATGAAAAGAGTATAAAAAATACAAGAACATTGTAATGGCTTTGGGTTGTAATATATAATTACGTGCCTCAGATTTGTAGTGACAGGTTTAGCGACCTTTCTGTTAAACAGAGATTAATAGTGAAATGACTAAATTTGGTCTATAAAATCAACCCTTTTAAATTAAAACTTTAATATATATGGAGTGATTTTATTTATTTATTTATTTATTTATTTTAGGAAATAGAGACAGGGTTTCACCATGTTGCCAGGGATGCTTTGAACTCCTGGGCTTAAGCAGTTCACCAACTGGCCTCCCAAAGTGCTAGGAATACAGGTATAAGCCACCTCACCAGCCAGTTGAATTTTCAAGCCAACTTAATCCAGTAAAATATTTTGCAAGTTAGAGTGTTTTATTTTGGAAGCTACTGTTTTTAGGGTATAAAATGAGATGAGATGGTGGGCACAATATTTTCTTTCAGGATTTTCTGTTTAAATGCCGTTGAATGCCTCAAGATACAAAGAGACTGTTGGCATACCTTACTTACAAATCATGGTTTAAAGAGTTCTAGTATATTCTGTATATGAATATTTATTGAGTATCTTCCAGCTACAAAGCTAGTTTCCAACTGTTTTAAATCTTCTGCTTATTTGTGTAGGTATCAGACCTTGACTATAGTTCAGTGGTACGATCTTGGCTCACTGCAACCTCCGCTTCCCAGCTTCAAGCAATTCTCCTGCCTCAGCCTCCCAAGTAGCTGGGACTACAGGCGCATGCCACCACGCCCGGCTAATTTTTTTGTATTTTTAGTTGAGACGGGGTTTTACCATGTTAGCCAGGATGGTCTCGATCTCCTGACCTCATGATCTGCCCACCTCGGCCTCCCAAAGTGCTGGGATTACAGGTGTGAGCCACCGTGCCTGGCCTGTATTTTTATACTCGTAATCATGATTCAAAGTCATTCGTGATTAGGCTTTATCCACTGAGCACAAACATACAAAAGACAGTTCTTGCCCATCAACTGAGGTGCTGTCATCTGAAGTAGATAACCATTTTAAGTTTAGTTACTTAAATAACTGAATGCTTTAGAGAACAGGAAGTAGATGCATCAGAATTTTGTTTCTACAAAGTTTTTTTCTATTCTCTTAGGGCAAAGGTCTGCTGTAGGCTTTAACCTCATTGCTCTAGAAGAGCCTGGGCAGTGACAGCCACCATAAGATGGGCACCATTTTCTAGAACCATGAGTATGGTGTGATGGTTCTTCCAAAACTGCTTGGGAGAAAACAGATTTACTGTAGTCTTGTATCTTTTTTACGTATATTGCTTTCAAATAAGCAGAATGTTTCATTTTACTGACCACGGCTTAGAAGAAGCCTTTCCATTTTCTTTTTTAACATGTTTGAACAAGCAGATGAATGAAATGTATTTCACAGAAACCACAAAAGCCACGTCAGGTGTAAAAGCGTTTTTGTTTTTTTTACCTGACAAGTCAAAACTGTGAGACATGCTAAGTGGCCGCATTGCTGAAAAAAAGAAAACAAACAATAAAAAGAAAATAATTCAGCTGTTAGGAATATACAAGGAGGACAAAAAAGGGAACGGATTAATGAAGACCCTCAGTGGCTACATGTCAGACTCTAAGGCAGAAGCTAGTGAATGAAAATCTCAAATACATTAAAACCATGCAAGAGTCTTAGTTTCAATTACATCACTAAGACTTGAAATGGAGGAACAATAAAAGGAAAAAGTAACTTTTTTAAAAACAAGTTAAAAATGAAAGCATGATAAAAATACAAACATTTTAAATAATCACAGAATAGGATTTCTGACTTAAATACAGATTTTTTTAAAAGTCACGTTTTAAAACATGATTTTGGGGAACATATAACATCTTTAAAATTTCAGAGTAAATCTATCCTTCAATAATTTATGTCAGGATGAAAATTTGGCTCTCGGAATAAAGGCGAAACAGTTTATAAAAAATTCTCAGTTCAGCTAGCTCAGCAGCATCACCACTATGTGTCAATAAACTACCTACTGTAGACCGTATAACCTAGTAGTTGAAGGACGGTCAGACTGCCCGAGTTTGAACCTCAGCTCTGCCACTTACTGGCAGTGTGATCCCAGGCAAGTTACTTAACCTCTCTGTGCTGTAGTTACTTCATCTGTAAAATGAGAATAATCCTATCTTACGGAATTGTTATAAAGATTAAATAACTTCATGTAAAAAGGGTGCTTAGAATAGTGCTTGACACACAGTAAAAACTGAAAATAGTAGTCCTTCCTTATCGTAGTTTCACTTTCCATGGTTTCTGTTACTCATGATCCAAAAATATTACATGAAAAATCCCAGAAATAATTCATAAGATTTATTTATTTATTTTGAAATGGAGTCTCGCTCTGTTGCCCAGGCTGGAGGGCAGTGGTGTGATCTCAGCTCACCGCAACCTCCGCCTCCCAGGTTCAAGCGATTCTTGCGCCTCAGCCTCCTGAGTAGCTGGGATTACAGGCGCCCACCACCATGCCCGGCTAATTTTTGTATTTTTGGTAGAGACAGGGTTTTTCCATATTGGCCAGGCTGGTCTCGAACTCCTGATCTCAGCTGATCTACATGCCTCGGCCTCCCAAAATGTTGCAATTACAGGCGTAAGCCATCATGCCCGGCCAATTCATAAGTTTTAAATTGCACGTTTCCTGAATATTACTTTTTCTATTTTATTATTAGTAATTGTGAATCTCTTACTGAGCCTATTTTATAAAATAAACTTTTTCACAGGTATGCATGTAAAGGAAAAAACATAGCATATATATAGTTTGGTACTATCCATGGTTTCAAGCATCTACTCGGGGTCTTGGAATATATCTCCCCCTCAGATAAAAGAAGACTACTGTAATTCTCTTTCTTTTTTTTTGAGACAGAGTCTCACTCTATTGCCAGGCTGGAGTGCAGGGACTGCAGTGGTGCAGTCTCAGCTCACTACATCCTTCAAGCGATTCTCCTGCCTCAGTCTCCTCAGTAGCTGGGATTACAGGTGCCTGCCACTAGGCCCAGCTAACTGTTGTTTTAGTGGAGATGGGGTTTTTCATCATGTTGGCCAGGATGGTCTCGAACTCTGACCTCATGATCCACCCACCTTGGCCTCCCAAAGTGCTGGGATTACAGGCGTGAGCCACTGTGCCCAGCCCATCATTTCTTAAAAATGAAATTATTATGTATTTCCTGTTGAAGCACCCTACTTTTAAAATTTATTGCATATAATAACCACTAAATTGTATACTTTAAATGAGTGAATTTTATGGTATACAAATGCCATATAGCTCAATAAAGCTGTTAAAAAGGTTATTGCAGAGATGTGATGATTCAGGACAGTGAAGATTATCTATTTTCACTGCTGTAGTCCAAAGCTCTTACCGGTACCTTTAGAAGAATGCATCAAAGAGAGAACATCTTTCCTGTGACCCAGGCTGCTCAGCCTTCCTAGGATTGTTCAGAAACCACCACATCAGACACTGAAGCACAGGGCTTCAGATGTCCATTGGCCATTCTTCCCTTCCACTCCAACAAAGCATAGTCCTTGTTTTCCATTCCAAAAACGAAGTCTACCAGGACTGCCCATATTCTCCAAAACTGCTGAAGCCAAAGCAATGCCTCACTGAATATCTTTATCCTAATGTGTAAGTTAGGATGTATGTTTTAAAAGGCATTTTACTGTGTTTTAGTTATCTCACAGGAGATTGGTTAGCGATTTTGTGTTGACAAAAATAATCTTTCTTGAACTTATCTCAGAAAAGTATTCTAAAAAGAAAAAAAAAAACTTCCACTCACCATTCAAAAACCTGTACTTCTAAACTCCTATATTACCTACTCTAGATTTTCCTAATTATGTAAAGCAAATAAAATATTACATATTGCCACAGCACTCTTCCATCTTCTCTAGTATCTTCTTATTCTGCTCTTTTTTTCTCTAGCACACGAATATCTCTTTTGAAATAAGGTTGACTGCTGTGTTAAGAAGGGGATGCAATTATTTCTTGGGAGATGACATTTATATATTTTCCAATCTCTATACCAAAAAGAGAATAAAAATTGAGGATCATGTCAATTAAGATGTTTAGAAGAAAGAAAATAATCAGAGACATGAACAAAGACTGATGTATAAGAATAGTAATTTCAGACTTACTAGGAAAAAATGGAAAAAGCCAGCAAATCAGGAAAATAGGTAAATAAAACCCAAGTAGCCATCTGTTAGGAGATCACAACCTTATAAAATCATATTTGGAGTCATATTTAATGACATAGGAAGATGGTCATGCCAAATAAAACATTAGATGCAGAGAACAGAGTACTGTATATACAGTTTTCATCCTCATTTTGTAATGCACAAGTAAATTCACAGTGGATGCCTCTGGCTGTTGTAATTATGGGTAACATTTTCTTCTTTAAACATTCAGACATTTTTGCCATTGCTGCAGTGAGCTCCTACTTGCAATTACATGTAGGGGAAAAGTGATACAAATATTTAGGGAAACTTTTCTTCAAGTTAATTCTGCCGATATTATCATAACTGAATTCCCCAAAGCAAAACTGTATAGTAAGAACCAATGTAGCTCTGTAGGAAAAAATGACCAAAATCCCTTACTTTACAATTAGGGTTTAATATCAATTTGAACTCAGAATTCTAGAAGTAACACTCTCACAGAACAGTATCTTTCTATAACAGCTCAATTCTGGTTGTTGTGAAATACCAACTGTCAAGGTTAAAATAAAGACATACTTAACATAAAAATGATATTTAATTATTCTAAAGTAGGGTTTCCATTAGCAACTAAATATAATTTTTAAAAGTGAAACTGAAGAATATGTATGTGACAAAGGCTTGCTATGAGAGATCAAATCACTAATCAAAAAGCTCCCCAGCAAAGGCCTAGGACCAGAAGGATTCACTGGTGAATTCTACCAAATACTGAATGAAGAATTAATGCCAATCCCTCTCAAGCTCTTTCAAAACACTGAAGACGAGAGAACCCTTTTTTTTTTTTTTTTTTGAGACAGAGTCTTGCTCTGTCGCCTAGGCTGGAGTGCAGTGGCCGGATCTCAGTTCACTGCAAGCTCCGCCTCCCGGGTTTACGCCATTCTCCTCCCTCAGCCTCCTGAGTAGCTGGGACTACAGGCGCCCGCCACCTCGCCCGGCTAGTTTTTTTTTATTTTTTAGTAGAGACGGGGTTTCACCATGTTAGCCAGGATGGTCTCAATCTCTTGACCTCATGATCCGCCCGTCTCGGCCTCCCAAAGTGCTGGGATTACAGGCTTGGGCCACCGCGCCCAGCCGAGAGAACACTTCTAATTTTGTTTTACGGGCCAAAACCCCCAAAAGTACAGGCTAAAATCCTTAATGAATATAGATTCAAAATTCTGAAGAAAATACTAGCCAACTGAATCCATCAGCACAATAAAAGGATCATACATCATGACCAAGTGGGATTTATCCCTGGGATGCAAGGATAGCTTAAGACCTGAAAATCAATTAACACGATATACCACCATAATAGAATAAAGAATAAAAATCACATGATCATTTCGAATGCAGAGAAAGCATGTGACAAAATTCAACACCTTTTCGTAATAAAAACACTCAACAAATTAGCAACAGAAGGAAATTACCTTAACATAATAAAGGTCACATATGGAAAGCTGACAGCTAACATCACACTCCACAGGGGAAAACTGAGAGCTTTTCCTCTAAAATCAGGAACAAGGCAAAGATGACCACTTCTATATTCAACATAGTACTGGTAGTTCTAGCCAGAGCAATTAGGCAAAAAAAGAAATAAAAGGCATCCAACTGGAAAGAAAGTAATAAAAGTATCCCTGTTTGCAGATGACATGATCTTATAGATAGTGTATTGAAAAAAAAATTTATGGAGTTTTCTATCTCTAACAAACTATCAAGGAGATTAGAAAAACAATCCCATTGACATCACCACCAAAAAGAATAAAATATCTAGGAGTAAATTTAATTAAGGAGGTAAAAGATTTATACACAAAAAGTACAAGACAGAAATAAATGGAAGAATAATGTTCATGAATTGAAAGACTTACTGTTAACATGTGAATACTGCCCAAAGCTATATACAGATCCAACAGAATCCCCATGAAAATCCTAATGGTATTTTTTACAGAAATAGAAGATAATCCTAAAATTCCTATGGAACCACAAAAGACAATGAATAGCCAACCAATCTTGAGAAAGAATAGCAAAGCCGGAGACATCACACTTTCTGATCTTACAATATATTATAAAGTTACAATAAAAAAAACAGCATGGTACTGGCAAACAACAGTGGAACAGAACAAAGAGTCCAGGAATGAACCCACATATATACAGTCAACTGATTTTTTTTGTTTTTCTTTCTTTCCATGGAATCTTGCTATCACCTAGGCTAGAGTGGAGTGGTGTAATCACAGCTCACTACAGCCTTGATCTCTTCGGCTCAAGTGATCCACTCTGAAGCTTTGTCACCAGAAAGTACATTTAATTATTTCAACCCATGAGAGTACTCTGTACAGCCCAGTGCTGTACTATGGACACAACAACGAACAAGACAGACATGGGCCCTGTCATCACGAAGGTCACAAAACAGAAGGGCCAGGATTAAACAAGAAAAATCAATATGGAGTGGTGGAAGAGTTCAAGACTGGAAGCAAGAGGAGAGTCAGGGCTGCTGCGACAGATGACAACCTCGGCTAGGATAGAAGATTAAAAAGATCCAGAGAAAGTAAAATCAACAGGAGTTGGCCATCAGGTAAGAGTCAAAGATTATGTTAAGGTTTCTACATTGGGAAAACAAAATGAGATGGTTTGGGGAGAGACAGGATGAGTTCACTTGTGGACATGTTGGGTTTGTCTTGCTTGTAGGATATGAGAAGGCTCGATCTAGCAGACAGCTGGACGTATGAGTCTGAATTTTTAGAGACCTGCAATGTAGACTGTGAGCTGGAAGGGAGTCAGAAACAAAAACCAGGGAAGAGGGTATGGTTGCTCAGGGAGAACAGAGCCCAGGATAGAAACTTCAAAGTCCAAGAGTCTGAAAGAGGCAGAAGAAGAGATCAGAGGAGAAAACTAGCAGAGTGGGAGTCACAGAACCAGATCCTTTCCTGTTAAGGTATCACTATAGACTGTTTTCCTAAAGGCAGTTTCTCTGGATTCTTTGGTCATTTTTAGTCTTACAAACGGAAAGACAGTCGTATAAACAAAAATGTTTACAAACATCTTATAATACGGCCTTTCTATAAATCAAAATCAATATGTGCTTATAGTATATACTAAAAAATAAAAAATAATAACTCTAAAGGAAGTTTAGAAATAAGTGGTATCAGGTAATAACATGCTTTCATGACATAATACCATATCTTTAAACCCATAATAAACAAACATAAGGTAAAACTATATATCTGTCATCTATGTTTCTAAAATATAATACCTTGTCTTTGTATACGCAATACAATTTATAAAGTATTTTTACCATAATCCTATTTAATTCTTACATAAAAGTCATAATGTAGGTTGAGAGGAATTTTTATCCCCCTTCTGCCAATGAAGAAAATGATGCTCAGAGAGGTAAAGAAACTTTGCTAAAACCTCAGTCTAGAGACTGGCAGAGCTCTTTTAATTATGGCATGATGTTCTCATATAGTTCAATATTAGAGAGGGGGAAGGATTTCCCACCCTATCAATTTCAAGTAAGTGTGAGGGGGTATGTATGTGAGAGAGTGAGAGTGAGAGTGAGAACGAGTGAGTGAGATACAGACAAATGAACAAGGAATGAGAACTCTTTACGTTAATAGGACTGGGTGTATAAAGATCCTTTTCCCAGGGGATGACTCTAGATTGAGTACAGGAAGCAGCGGACTCACCTAATCTGCTACGTCTAATCTCCTCTGGTGAGACAGGCCGCAGCTTTCTTTCTGCTTTAATTTCTTCTAATATTCTCTCATGGAGGCTCCGTGGCCGTGGTGGAGTTGGTTTCAGTTTTCTGGCTGAGACCTTGAAAGTAAGAAAAATGGCTAAAGACTTGAGTAATTACGTAATTTTTACTGAAGTCCAGTCATACAGTACAGTATTATAAACTACATTTCATTGATTGAAACACTGCTTGATAAAAGACTACTTTCAAGTCATTAAATATTAAGGTTCCTAAAGCAATAGGGAGCTTACTGGATATCAGAGTGATTTGGTTATACATGCTCAAATTTTATTTTATTTTTATTTATTTTTATTGTTTTGAGACAGAGTCTGGCTCTGTTGCCCAGGCTGGAGTGCTGTGGTGCAATCTCAGCTCACCGCAAGCTCTGCCTCCCGGGTTCAGGCCATGCTCCTGCCTTAGCCTCTCGAGTAGCTGGGACTACAGGCGCCGCCACCACACCCGGCTAATTTTTTGTATTTTTAGTAGAGACGGGGTTTCACCGTGTTAGCCAGGATGGTCTCAATCTCCTGACCCTGTGATTCACCCGCCTCGGCCTCCCAAAGTGCTGGGATTACAGGCGTGAGCCACCGCGCCCGGCCGCTCAAATTCTATTTTATGCTTATAGAAGGGGTCTCACTCTATTGCCCAGGCTGGAGTGCAGTGGTGCAATCTCAGCTCACTGCAACCTCTGCTTCCTGGGTTCAAGCGATTCTCGTGCCTCAGCCTCCCGAGTAGCTGGCATTACAGATGCGTGCCAACATGCCTAGCTAATTATTGTATTTTTAGTAGAGATGGGGTTTCACCATGTTGGTCAGACTGGTCTCGATCTCCTGATCTCAAGTGATCCACCCTCCTCAGTCTCCCAAAGTGCTGGGATTACAGGCATGAGCCACTCTGCCTGGCTACACCTTTGAATGTCTAAGCTCAAGGGGTCCTTCTGCCTCAGCCTCCCAAGTGGTTGGGATTCCAGGCACATGCCACTGAGCCTGGCTTGCTCAACTAATTTTAAGCAGTTATAATTATGTTCCCTATATGCTAGCGTGATAGGTAATCAATTGCAGTGCAGGCTATTACTACTGCTGTTTTTTGTGTGTGTTTTGTTTTTGAGACAGGGTCTTGCTCTGTTACCCAGGCTGGAGTGCAGTGGCACAATCATGGCTTACTGTGGTCTTGACCTCCTATGCTCAAGTGATCCTTCTACCTCAGCCTCCTGAGTAGCTGGGACAACAGGTGTGTGCCACTGCACACAGCTAATTTTTTTTTCCTTTAATTTCTTTGTAGAGACAGGGTCTCTCTATGTTGCCCAGGCTGGTTTTGAATTCCTGGACCCAAGCAATCTTCCCATCCTGGTCTTCCGAAGTGCTGGGATTACAGGTGTGAGCCACCTCCCAAAGTGCTGTGAACATCCCACTTTACTGTTTTTAAAACTAACATTTTTTAGTAACCCACCATAACCTTCTTAGATTGTTATTATCTTCATTTTATAACTGAGAAAATAAAGGCCCTGGGAGGCTGATGAGCTCCCTCAGAGACCTGTGGCTGCTAAATTGTGGAGCCAGTGTTCAAGTCCAGGTTCATATGGTCCAAGGTCTTTCTACTCTACCATGACCTACCATCCTACCATGACCACTCTGCCTGGGTGACACAGTGAGACTGTCTCAAAAACAAAAAGAATATAATTTACAGCTGGGCTTCATCTTTAGAATAAAACGCTCAGAGGAAAAACCACCTAGGAAAGCTGAGTTCTAGAGATGACTCAACCCTAGAGTAGAGTAATTCATTATGGTATCTACAATCTAGAGAACTATGTCGAATTACATACTGGATTTAAAGGAGGTCTGGATCTGATGAAGTCGAGGATGATTTCATGAGCACTCTTTTTTAACCGAGGGGGAATATCACCATTCACCTAAAAGGAGACAAAAAGTAGAAGATTCATGTGACTATCTAAGACTCTCATGAATTTCTGGGTATAGCTGTTATCTCAAGTATGCCACAAAATTAGTGAAGTGTAATTATTAAGGATACATTTCAAATCAATAAAGTGGGGAGTAAATGGCTGAGTGATTCAGAGGAAAAACTGTGAAATTGAAGAAAATCCAAGTTTACCTTAATTCTATCACTTTGGGAAATTTCAACAAAAAGTTTCTAAAATTATGAATGTAAATGGAATAAATAATACTTGAACTTATTAAGTATTTTATGATTAAAAAAAATTTTACCTCTTATTTTCCTCCTTGTAAAAAATGTAGGTAGGCCGGGCACAGTGGCTCATGCCTGTAATCCCAACACTTTGGGAGGCCAAGGCAGGTGGATCGCCTGAGGTTGGGAGTTTGAGACCAGCCTGGCCAACATGGTGAAACCTTGTCTCTACCAAAAATACAAAAATTAGCTGGGCGTGGTAGCAGGCACCTGTAATCCCAGCTACTTGGGAAGCTGAGGCAGGAGAATAGCTTGAACCCAGGAGGAAGAGGTTGCTGTGAGCCGAGATTGCGCTATTGCGCTCTAGCCTAGGCAACAGAGCGAGACTCCGTCTCAAAAAAACAAAAACAAAAAAAAACCAAAAACAACAAACAACAACAACAAAAAAAACCCACAAAAACCTAGGTAATAGAAAAAAACCAGGGATAAGATTCACACTTTGTAAACGAAACTCAAGTGCACAGCAGAGGACATCTGCCTGCATCCACACAACTTCTAAGTAGAAGAGCTATTGTGGAGGACCAGTCTGACTCTGACTGTACTCGAATGTCCTCTCTTTTTAAAGCAATGTGTTAAAAACAATTTTTTTTAGAATTTTTTTTTTAAACCCAGAAAACCACAAGAAGTAACAACTTAAATTCCCATTCTGACCACTTAGAAGGCACAGTCATGACCAGTTTGTCCTATTTGTTTCCTGGTCTTGTTTGAACAAAATAGAACCTCAGTGGTCACTCCCATGCCCAGTGCCTTCCCCAGACGTGACCACCATATTGAGTTCAGAGTGTGTGGCAAGCCTGCTGGGGCCTACTCAACATCCACTCTCCTCTTCCTCCCTGTGCTGGTCCTCCCTCTCCCCCAGCCCTGAATGAGGGCAAGACGGCCCAGAGCAAGCTTCAGGAATAACTGCTGCTGCTTGAGCCAAGCCAGGCATATGACTGCTAGTTTAACGAGGGTGACTGAGAAGTAGAACCAGTGGCCTACCATGGCACCACCCACTACTTGTGGATCTCATATTATGTAGATTTAAAAAAACCCCTTATTTCATAAAACAATTTAATCAGGCTTTTATATTACTCACTAGTCTACTCCTGAATAACATGTATCTTTCTGGCTAATTTTCACATGCTTTCTTTGTATCCTAAGAGCAGGAATGAGAATGGATTAACCGAGGCCAAGGCTATATGTTCCATTCCCAAAACAAGCATATTAACTGTAGTCTCCTCGGTAGTCAGAAGCTGTATCCTGGGTCCTAGTTACAGATGTGGGACAATGCTCCTGAGGGAGGCAGCAGGCCATTATGGACCTAAGTCAGTATGGGTGGAGGAAGCTCCCTTATCCAAATGCTTGGGACCAGAGTGTTTCAGATTTTTGAATATTTACATTATACTTATCAAAAAATCTGAAATGTTCCAATGAGAATGTCTTTTGAGTATCATACTGGCCCCCAGAAAGTTTGCTGGAGCACTTCAGATATTCAGGTTTGTGATGCTAAACCTGTATAAGGAGAAGTGGTTGTGTGAAAACCATTCTGCTGCTGGCTCAGTAAAATTATTTTCCTATAAGAAAACAAGCTCTCTGAAGTGAAATGAGAAATGATTCCTGGATGAACACAAATAGTAGATGCTTAAGTAAATAAGATCAGTTATAGAAACTTGGTATTATTTTTGAGCAACAATGCCTGAAACAAATAAAAAGCTTTTTTGTATTTTACTCAGTAGAGACAGGGTTTCACAAAGTCGGCCAGGCTGGTCCTGACCTCACGTGATCTGCTCACCTCAGCCTCCCAAAGTGCTGGGATTTCAGGCGTGCGTCAGGGCGCCCGGCCCAACAAAAAAATTCTAATACATAAAATGATCTCTTTTGAAAAATTTAAAATGTCTACCCTGTACTCAATCTTGTTTCTGAAATAATTTTCTTTTTTTGCAACACGGTCTTGTTCTATCACTCGGGTTGGAGTGCAGTGGCGTGATCACAGCTGTCTTGACCTCCCAGGTTCAAGTGATCCCTCCACCTCAGCCTCCTGAGTAGCTGGGACTACAGGTGTGAACCACCATCCCCAGCTAGTTTTTAATTATTTGTAGAGATGGGGGTCTATGTTGCCTAGGCTGGCCTTGAATGTTTAGGCTCAAGCGATCCCAGCACTTGGCCTCCCAGTGTTGGGATTATTGGTGTGAGCGACTGCACCCTGCCTATTTATTTATTTATTTATTTATTTATTTATTTATTTATATGGAGATGGGGTCTCACTAAGTTGCCCGGGCTACTCTCAAACTCCTGGGCTCAAGCAATCTTCCTACCTTGGCCTCCCACAAAGTGTTGGATTGCAGGCATGAGTCATTGTGTCTGGCCTTTTATTTTTATCTTAAATGAAACAGAACCATTAATGATGGCATAAGACCACAGCTAATAATCTACAAAACCAACTTACAGTTTAGTGATTGATATTGGTCCCTTAATGAAATTTCAAGAAGTGTGAGGTTAGGGCCAAACATTCTTCTTTGTATGTTGATACCTAGTTGTCCCAATATCAATTGGTGAAAAGACCTATTCTTTCTCTATTTAACGGTCTCAGCACCCTTGTTGTAAATGGATTGAACATAGGTGTATGAGTTTGTTTTTGTACTCTGAATTCTGTTTTTATATCCTACACTGTTTTGACTACTACAGCTTTGTTGTAAGTTATAAAATGGGGATGTGCAAGCCCACCAACTTTTTCTTTTTCAAGATTGTTTTGATTATTTGGAATTCCTTGAGATTCTGTAAGAATTTTAGAATCAATTTTTCCATTTCTGCCAAAAAAAAATTGTCATTAGAATTCTGACAGAGAATAATGTTTGACCCTTACCTCACACCATATATAAAAATTAACTAAAAAAACTGATCAAAGACCTAAATATAAGAGCTAAAACTATTTATAAGTGTCTCAGGTTAGAACATAAGGGAAAATCTTCATGAACTGAATTTGGTAATGAATTCTTAGATATGACACCAAAATCACAAGCAACAGAAGGAAAAATAGATAAATTGTATTTCAGCAAAATTAAAACCTTTTGTGCATCAAAGGATACTATCAAGAGAGTGAAAAGACAGTCTACAGAATGGGTGTTTTTCTATACTTGCAAATTATGTATCTGTCAGGGGTCCACTATCCAGAATATATAAAGAACTCTTACAACTTAACAGCAAAAATACAAACAATCCAATTAAAAAATGAGTACAACACAGCCTTATAAAAAGAATGAAATCATGTCCCTTGAAGCAACATGGATGGAGCTGAAGGCCATTATCCTAAGTGAGCTAATTTAGAAACAGAAAACCAAATACTGCATGTTCTCACTTATAAGTGGAAGCTAATAACGGGTACATAGGGATGCAAAGATGGAAATAGTAGACACTGGAGAACTCCAAAAGTGGGGAGGTTGGGAGGGGGGTCAGGGTTGAAAAGTTACCTATCATGTACAATGTTCACTACTTAGGTGATGGGTATGCTAGAAACCCAATCTCCACCAGCATGCAATATACCTATGTAACAAACAGGCACATGCACACCCAAATCTAAATTAAAATTTTAAAAAATGAATTCAAAATCTGAACAGACATTTCTCCAAAGATATACAAATGGTCCACAAGCACATGAAAACATGTATGACATTGTAAGTCATCAGGGAAATGCAAATCAAAACCACAATGAGATATCGTATCACACTGTTAGGGGAGTCATAATTAAAAACAAAATGAACAATAGCAAGTGTTGGCAAGGATGGGAGAAAGTGGGCCCCTCATACATTGCTAGTGGGAATATTAATTGGTGCAATTGCTGTGGAACACAGTTTGGTAGTTTCTCAATAAGCCAAACATAGAATTACTATATGATCCAGTCACTCCATTCCCAGGTACGTACTCCAGATAACAGAAAACAGGTATTCAAACAAAAATGTGTACATTACTATATACTGCAGCACTACTCATGCTAGTGAAAATGAAAGAATCCAATTGGAAAGAACCCAAATGTCCATTTGGGTCATGAATAAACAAAATATGATACATCTGTACAGCCATAAGAAGGAGTAAAGTACCTTGCTGGGCATGGTGGCTCACGCCTGTAATCCCAGCACTTTGGGAGGCCAAGAAGGGCAGATCACCTGAGGTCGGGAGTTCAAGACCAGCCTGACCATCCGGATCCGAGCCGCTGTTGATATCAGGTAACTAGATTTACACATAGAAATTTGTTTGATCCGTTTTATTAAATATATATGTATATACCTATCGTTTATGGTAGTAGGTGCAAGCAATGGTGACAGTGAGCAAACAGTATGAGTTTCGGGTTTCTTTTTTGTTTTTTTTTTGAGACCGGAGTCTCGCTCCTGTCGCCCAGCCGCTGGAGTGCGGTGGCCCGGCCCTCTCAGCTCACTGCAAGCTCCGCCTCCCCGGCTCTCGCATTTCGCTGCCTCAGCCTCCCGAGTACTGGGACCTACAGGCGCCGCCACCATTCGCCCCAGCGTACGCTATTTCTTGTATTTCTTTAGTAGAGACACGGGTCCCACCGCGTTAGCCAGGACTCGCCTCAATCTCTGACCTCCTCGTGCAATCCGACGCCGTCTCGGCTCCCAAAGTGCCTGGGATTAACACGGCTTGAGGCCCCCCGCGCCGGCAAGGTTCTTTAAGCAGGTCGTTTAAAAGAAGATGAGAAGAATACAGCATCCTGGAGGAAACCACACGGGCATTTTTCTTTTTTTCTGAGCACCGGAGTCTCGCTCTGTCGCCCAGGCCCTGGAGTGCATGGGGGGCGTGATCTCGCTCACGCAACCTCCGCCTCACCCGGGCTTCAAGTCATTCTGCTGCCTCAGCCTCCCCTGAGTAGCTGGATTACAGGTCCTGCCATCACGCGGGTCATCTCATATTAACAGCATGCTGAGGTACCTTTGCTCCTATCTTCTTCTTCTTTTTTTTTTTTTTTTTTTTTTGGAATGGAGTTTCACTCTTGTTCGCCACGGCTGGAGCTGCAAATGGGCACAATCCTCAGCTCACTGCACACCCCTCCGCTTCCCGGATTACAGCCATTCTCCTGCTCCACCTCCCCAAGTAGCTGGGATTACAGGCATGCACCACCACACCAGGCTAATTGTTTCGTCTTTTTAGTAGAGATGGGTTTTCCTCCATGATGGCGTCCAGCGCTGGTCATTCGAACTCCCGACCGTCAGGTGATCCTGCCCTTCTTTGCCTCCCAACAAGTGCTGGGATTACAGGCGTGAGCCACCATCCGCCAGCAACGTAACTTTACTCCTTCTTACCTGCTGTACAGATGTTCACTATTTTG